CTTGTGCTTGCCAGGCAGGTGCTTAGACCATTGAGCTATCTCCCCAGCCCTGCATTATTTATTTTTAAGAATGAGCCAGATATAGTCATGCCAACCTTAATCTTATCTACAAGGAAACTCAATTTATAAAATTTCTCAAATTTTCTCAATTTATAAATTCAAATACAACTTTTTAAAAATTTTATTTAGGACAGGGTGTACAGGGTGTACAGGGTGTACAGGGTCTCACTGCATAGATTGGACTAGCAGTGATCTTCCTGTTTACAGCCTCTGCAGTGCCAAGATTACAAGTGTGTACCACAATGCCCAGTCTCAATTGCCATCGCAGTGTGCCCTGGAGGCAGAGCCCGTGTGGCAGGCCTGGGAATTGAACTCCCAGACTGTGTCTGCCTAAGCAGGTGCTTTAATCTGCTGAGCTATTTGGCTGGCCCTCAAATATAACAAAATGCAGTTATCCCCAATTTTTCTTCTAAAGCTTTTAAGTTTTATTTATTTATTTATTTATTTTTATTTATTTTGTGTGTGTGTGGCCAGTTCAGCCCACCAGGGGGCGGGGCTGGCTGGCATGTGGTGCTGGGGGATTGAACCGCAGTCCCTGTGCTTTGTTTAGCTTAGCTTGTTCTAAGTAGGTGCTTTAGACTACTGAGCCATTTCACTAGCTCTAAAGCTTTTAAGTTTTTCAATTAAAAAATCTTTCTACCATATCTTCCATTTTAATTAAGATGATAGAAACTTGGATTTAAACAATATGGAAATTTACTTCAAAATACAATCTAAATATCTGAAATTATTAATCTATAATTGAAATTATTTTATTTGCACCCCTTACCTTAAGCTTTAAGGAAGAGCTTATACAAATTTATTTCTTAAAATGCAGCCAACAAGAGAGCTGTCCTCAAACTGCCATTTCTTTGATGGAATATGTGAGTCGTGTCACATGCTTACTTTTTCACTACTTTGGATGCAAAATATTTCATTTTTATTGTTTTTGCAGAAAACAATAACTTTTAACTTTTAAAATATTATTTTACCTTTAGAGTATGAAATAAAAATATATCACCAAGTAATGTCAATCAGACACAAAACAGCTTTAGCCCAAACCAGTGGTTCTTAAAGGGGACAATTTATCCTCACTGCAGCTTCCAGAAAATATCTGCAATGTCTAAAAGATACTGGTGTCACAACGAGGGATGTGACTGGTGTCCAGTGAGCAATGGCCAGGGGTGCTGCTAAGCATCCTCCAGTGCATGTCAGCATCTTTCATGATACCGGGGTGAGCGGTGTTGAGGTTAAGAAACCCTGGGCAAACGTGAGAGGGTGCCTGGGAACGTTCACCACAACGTCATCTCTACAAGCAGGCCGTCCCTGCACCCTGCTGGCACAACGGCGTGGGCAGTATTCCAGATGTCACGATCACAATCTGAGGTGGGCACAAGGTGCACACAGGTGTACATCGGCACAGAGATTAACCTGTGCATTTTCTCACCTGGTACCACCACATTTCCTAAGTTTTTGCATTTCATCTTTGGTGAACGTGTTTTATTGAAATGCTTCCTAGTCTGATTTGTTCAGTTACTGTGTGGCCCAACACTGGACTTCAGCTATTTAAGAGACCATTAGAAGAAGATGAAACCCTGAGTTACCAGAGAATAGAGCAAGAGGAGGGAATATCTATGGGGGATTTCAGAGGCTGAGTCATCTGAAAGGCGTCCCTGAGAAGCACAGGAAAGCCAAGAGGGCTGAGGGCTCACAGGAAAGCCAGGGGCCAGCTGTGCGGGGCCCAGGCCTGCATCCCTAACCTAGCTCTGGGAGGGAGGGAGGCAGACTCTTCAGAGCACTACACTAACTGCCACTGCACCTCTGCAGTCTGTGAGCTTCCCTCTGGAATAACAGAAAATAACTTACACCGAGGACCACAGGAACTAGTGAGGGTGGTGTGAAAACACTAAGACATTTAGCAACTGCTTGCACTTTTTAAAAAAGTTTATAAATTTATTTTTGTTACTTTGAAACAAGGTCTTGCTCCGCAGTTCAGGTGACCTTGAACTACCTTGAAGCCCAGGCTGGCTTTGAACTTGCAGTAATCCTCCTGCCTCAGCCTCCTGAGTGCTGGGATTACAGGCATGCCACCATAGTTTCTAATTTAACTAGAAAGGTATCTCATCAAATAGTGTCACAGTTATCAGGCACCTTTCCATAAAAATGAAATCCTTTATTTTTGTTTAATGGTTCTTGACTATGGGTGTATTTTAGAACTAACGAGGAAGCTTTACAAACAACCTCAACACCTAGCGCCCCAGGCAAGTCGAACTGGAATCTCTGAGCCTGTTGGATGATGAAGAAATGCAATGAGAAAAGCATGTTAATGGCATCTCTGACTCTGAAAAATCTGACATATATTTTCATAGAGGATAATAAAGTTCACTTAAAGTTCATACTATTAGAGACTGTCATCTCTAGAATATATTAAAAAATGCTGAAAGAGAGATTTGTAGATCTGTTTTACAACATGGTGACAATAGTTAATATTATATACTTGAAAATCACTGAGAACAGATGTTAAGTGTTCTCACAACAAAACACAAGTAGGTGATGTAATGCATATGCTAATTAGCTATACTTGGCCATTCCACAATGTATACACATTTCAAAACATCATTTTGTATACCATAAATATATACAATTTTTATTTGCCAATTAAAACTTTTAAAAATGTTGGAATCAGCATAATTCTCTTCAATGCAAAAAGGAGTAATAAGAATTAATAAGTTAGGGAGAGATATCAGACACTGAGTCCAATTCTGAGGGTATTATCTGAAATACATGGCAAGATGAAAAGAAATCATGAAGCAAGGCTTAAGGTGATCTTCACTAGACATCAAGAATGTCCTGTTTTAAAACTAAAATAGTCCCCAACTTTGCCACTTGTAAAACAAAGCTGGAAAAGAATGGGTTAGGATTTCCAATATCAGAGCAAGTAAGGAGGAAAACCAGTTCAGATCTGCGATCTATCCTATTGCTGGACTGGCTTTGTAGGTTCTACTGACGAGCCCCGTGGCCCCATGCTAGGAAGGATGAAGGTCTTCAGTTAGACTGAAGGGTTTGGGTATAAACTTTTCTATGGCAAAAAATGTTTTTAATAAAATGAAAAAAGTTAGAAATGACAGTTTACATGAAAGCTAGTGTTGGCAAAGAAATCCAGAGGTCCACTTGAGTGATCATTAGTAGCTGGCACAAGGCCTACGTCTATCTTGCGGTCAGTGGAATTCATGCACGATGTTTTAATCAAAATCTGCTGGGGACTTCATGTTTCTTGTGGGAAATCCTCCTTGCCATACCTTGTGGAAAATGGCTTATGAAGCCCCAACGCTGATGCAGGCACATCCTAGGAACTGGGAGAAACAGTTCCACAGCCCTCGTAGGCTTTGCATAGTTTGCATAAAATCATTTTTAAAAAAACCCTCTAAGAACTTTATATGATTTTTTAAACAATTACTTAAAAGATGTCATTATGATAGCAAATTAAAAACTTATCTCCAAATAGAAGGAGATACTAAAAATAGTAGGAACAGTAACCAAGTGGGGAGATAGCAAATGACAAAACTCTGCTCGCAGTTGGGGGCGCTGAGCCAGCCAGCACAGTTCTTAATTTTCCACACAGACTGCACGTCCGTTCTCTTGGCTTTGGCTTTGCACACAGACTACCCACTGAGGTACTGTTTTTAAAAAATTTTAATTGGTATATGTATGTAAAGGCAAAACTGTGTATGAGTTGGTTATGTTTTCAACTTTGGAGGAAATGGATGATTGACTCAAATAAGTTCTCGCCACTAATGAAAAGTATGTCTTATGTGAAAACAAATTTAGTGGCACTGCTGGAGTGCCTGCTCATTTACCCATAATTCCACTTGCTGAAGTCAAGCTTTTTCAACAAACATGGGGAGGAATGTTTCTTAAACACAAACTAAACTAAATAAAAAAGACTACTTCTCTGACCAACTATGGTAATTAGTGCAGCAAGATTCTATACATTTATAGGACATGTTAGCCAGGGGGAAAAGCCCACACAACAGGCAACAATAAACCCTGACTGGGTAAATAACTATAAATGGATTTTTTTTTTTTTTTTTTTTTGGGAGGAACAGTTGGTGGGTTAGCATGGCCCAAGTTTAGGCAGTTAAACTCATTTCATATGTTGTTTATCTGTGATGTTAAGCGAGTTTACAATACTTGGTGGGGTTTCAAGGCCAGTCTATATCGGCATTGCTATCTGATTAGCACCTAGCCCCTTGTCTCCTCTTGCATGACAAGCCCCCTCACGGTCTGCTCTGCCAATACAGTGAAAGGGCAGCGGTGCACTCCTGGCTGCAGGCACTTCTACATGTCATCATTTTCTTTCACGCTCCAAACTCCATTGATGTACACATTGTTTATTTCTTTTAGATTACCTTAAAATTCAGGTAAACACAACTTTTCGGACTGGAACACAGAAATGCGCATAGTGCTAGGCCTATTTTACTGACTTTGCAGTCTTCATCCCTTTTTGGATGTGGCCTATATAGAAATCTGCTTGTAATAAAAACTGATGACAACCATGACAAAAATAAGGATATAATATTAAAATAAATCAAATGATATACAGTACTGTCATTATTCTGATACAGAATTTTTACATAGCAATAATGATACAGGTACAAATGGCAAGATATCAGGCAATCCATTATGTTAGACCTTTAGGTTACAAATAAAGCTTAAATTATAACTTAATATTGATTTAAAAATGATGACTAGTGTTATGCCAGATTAAACTCAATATTTCCTCAAGTGGCATTTTTTAGACCATCTCTAACAGGAGAATTTAAAGCAAGCCTCATTAAAAAAGAGAAGAAAAAGAAAATATTGTACTGGAAAAGATGTCTTTCATTTAAATAAAACTTTAAATCTAGAAATCTAGACTAAGATAATTTGAATTTTTATCCCTTCTGTCCTCGCACCTAACAGCAGAATTGAAATCCACTGGACTAGACAAATGAAGGAAAATTCTAGAAGCTCTTTCAACCTGCCTTGTAGGGCAGGGGCCAGGAGTACCCAGTTCAACTACAGCCTCTTGTCATTGTTAAGTGTCAGGCAGAGAGGTCAGTTTGAACGAGCGATTCTCCCAGCAAACTACAGGCTCTAGACTTTCCTTTCTTAAATGTTAAATGTTTCATTTCTTAAATGCAGGAAGTCAAATAGAAAGAGTGAAGGTTTTACAATTCTTTGAGGACTAAGAGACAAGAGACACAAGGCCATGGGGCAGGGACAGAAGGTGCTGGACAAAAAAAAAATGTCTCTGTAACAAAATGTCAGTTCTTATTTTCCTGACTTTTGTGAAAGTGGGTGAGTTACTGGCATTACAAAAAACCAAACCAACCCAAAATACAAACAAGGAAATGAGAACCAGTTCCGTACTGCTTTGTACTTTATATTTCCATCCAAAATTAAAATTCCCTTTCAATAGGAAAACAGCATTTAAAAATCAAAGACAAAAATGTCACTTGGAAAGTGGAGAAAGCAAGAGTCTTTCTTTCTGGCGTATTCCCGTCTGGCACAATCACAAGTTAAGACTTTACAGATATCATGTGGCTGTTCACACTGAAGGTTTCTACTCGGAAGTGATTACTTCCGGGCTAAACAAATAAACTGCTTAAATGAAGTCCGTAGGCAGGCCAAGCCTGGCATACAAGGACACGTATGATGCATTCTGCGCCCAAAATATGGAACCTAAAGAAAAAAGAAAACTGAGTCAGACCAGGTAAAGCTGAGGAACAAAACAAAGCAACTTTATAGGAATAACTCTGTTTATGTGCTAGGCATTGTACACAGAACTTTTCCTGTGTCATCTTTTTCAGATGGCAAGTGGTTTCACTGTCCCTATTTTACAGATGAGAGACTGAGGCACAAACTGTCCAAGGTCGTGATATCTAGATCTGGAAGCTTGGCAGGCAGTGGACTGGAGAGCACACATTTTCTGCCTTTTACTTCTCCTCACATTATTTTTCTTTATAGCTTCCAGCTACTGAAGTTTCATAGGAACAGCCCAAGACTTGGCATATCCACATTTATACAATAAGTACAATAAGTAAATAGAAATTCACAATAAATAAATAATCTATAAGTTCACATATATGCACACAGATACTGGGTGTCAAAATGCAGGGAATATTTTTTTTTTTTAAGAAAGAGTCTCAATATGGAGTTCAGGCTAGCTTTAACTCACTACGTAGCCCAGAATAGCCTCAAACTCACTTCCATCCTCCTGCCTCAGCCTCCTGGGTGCTGGGATTGCAGCAGTGCGCCACCATACCTGGCTAGGTACTTTTTTTTTTAGGAACCAGGGATTGAACTCAGACCCTTGCACTTGCCAGGAAGTGCTTATTCCACTGAGCCATCTCCCCAGCCTCTGGGGAAATTTTTTTAAAGGAACACTGTAGAAGGAGTTAAGTTCACAGAAGTGGAACTCCACAGGCCCTGACCCATCAGGAGCAGTCTTATTTCACTGTACAAGTCTCCTAAAAGCTGGGCCCAAGTCATCAGGGAGGCTGGATGAGGAGGGCCCACCAGTGACCTCCACAGTGGCTGCTTGTGGCAATGGCAAGTGGAGTACACTCAAAAGTCTGCATGCTTCAAGAGTAAAGTGAGCTGAAATCATTTTCCTAGAATTAGGGCCTTTTTGAGGATCTGCCAATCTTACAAACTATGTCGATGAAGTGTAACCCCAGGCCTGGAGACAGCGACAATCAGTGAAAGAAGATGGCAAACAGTGCTGATTCAGGGTAACACGAAAAAGGCCAGCTCCAGAGACCCACATGTCAGGAATCCTTTCACAGAAGAGAAATATATTCTTCCTTTGATCAAATGCAAAATGCTGCATTTGGTGTCAGTTTGATGTATTTCCTGTTCTAGTCCACTAATAGAGACTGCCCCAAAGCAATTATCTGTGCTTAAGAGAAAATCTGAGATCATCTTGCAGATGCCTTAAAAAGAGATCTTACATAAAAAGGCCATCTTCAGACAGTGGCAGAACCATTCTAACCTTACTTTTGTGTGAAACCCACAGGGTAGACCCAACTCTGTGGTAGTCCAATCAAATCAAAGCCAATGATTGGGGTATATCTTTTAGTGGTACCACGCTTGCAGTCTTCTTACCTCCTTTTTCCTTTTTCTTCTCTTCCTCTTTCTTCGTTCCTGCCTTCCATTTCCAAAATGGTTCTGGAAGGGTCAGGGAGATGATTGAGATCAATAAGCGCAAAGGGAAGAAAGGGAAGTAACAGGAAGGCAGGGTTTGGTGTGGTCAATGGGAATAGCAAGAAATACCTGAGCTACCTCAGTGTCTCTGCTGACACACAACGGCTGCCCAAGGCCTAACACAGTGTCTATACAGGCATACTGCCCACCTGCTCAATGGAGACCTGTGCTCAGAATGGTTCTGTCACTGTGTGACTCAAAGAGTATGCTAAGGGCTGACTAGTTTGCTGCCACCAAGACTATAGCTGAGGAAGTGGGTGCTTCTAGATTGACACAGACAGGAGATAGCATGAGATCTGATAGTCACCAATGATCTTTCCAATCTCTTCTGACTCTGAGGCCTTGAGAATTTCCCTTTCACCTAAAACTTCCGCATATACAAGTGCTTCTCAATCAGGGACAAGTTTGCCCACAGGGAACACTTGGCCAGATCCAGAAACATTCTGGTTTGTCACAAGTAGGGCACTATTCAAGTCAAGAGGCTAGTGGCCAGAAGCGTTTGTAAACATCCTAAATGTCCAGGACAACAAAGAATGACTAGCCCAATATATCATTGTGCAGGAGTAAGAAAAGCTGACAAGAAGCAACAGTGCCTGAAAAAGAAGATCCTGAAGTGAAAGACAGTGAGTACGGCAAACTGCCACAAATGGAGCCCATCGAGTATGTTTACGGCATTCACTCACTGCACAGACAATGCCCAGTGCTGTGTACAGATTGGCCCTTATTTCAGCTAGTGAGGTGTACTGATGAACCAAAGAGAAAAAGCCCCTGACCAGCAGGGGGCCATTATGTCAATGATAAAAGGCAGAACCAGGAAGATAGGCAGCTGCTCTTCACTGGCTTTGTGCTGCTCACTGACTGACACGGCACCAGAACACTGTGACCACTCTCTAGGAGGTGAACCCTGTGCAGGCAGCAGAAGGGAAAAGTAGCCTCCATGCCCTACCTGCCCTGCAGCAGCCCTCCCAGGGCAGTGAGGATGAACATCACCCCAAGCCTGCGAGCTGGATCCTTCCCACCCCCAAGACCACAGGAGCAGCTGACTCTAGAGTGAAGCAGCATGCCTGAGGTCCACCAGCTAGAAACCCAAGGTGCCTGCAGTTTCGAGTCCTCACGTAGTTCTCTTTTCTCAATCACCACCATGCCCCAACTCCAGGATCTCTGAAGAGAGGTCTGAGGCTATTGTATTTATGAGCATTCAGCACTTATCCTGACACATAAAAGACATTCAAGAACATATCTGTTAAATGATTGTCACCCATCCCTTTTACAAAGGCTATAAACTCTTCCCTGAACACAAACCAATGGTCATCTCTAGTCCCCTGTCCTCACACACCCAAGACCATGCAGGGTCAGTATGACTCTACTACCAAACTCACAGATGCAGTCTCTGCCACTTCAGGGAGGCTGCAGCCCCTGGCTTGCACAGGCCCTTTGAGCACAGGAGGGCCCCTGGATTGCATTCACAAAGTCCTATGTTTTTGTGGAACTTTGTAAATTATCTTTCAATTCTTTTTCAAAGGGCACCAAGACTGCCTAAGCATTATTCTGGAGCTGCCTCAACTGACATTCTGGCAAGCATTAAACTGCACTGTGTGTCTCTTTACAACTGATGCCTTTTCTTTTCTCATTCAAACCCAGATTCTTTTTTCAAGATCCAGTCTGTACCTATTCCTTCATCCACATAGCCTTTCTTATCCTTTCAAACCTGTGGCAATTTCCCTCCTCCATTCATAGCTGTGAGCTCCTAATGACAAAGAGCTTGGCTTTGGACATCTTGCCCATATTGTCACCAGCAAGTTTGAGGTGTTTTGTTACATGTAAAATGTAAATCAGGAATGGGCAAGTTCTTGAGCTGTTCATAGTCATCACTGTCCTCTTCTTTAGGGCCCTCTAAAAGGGAAATTCCCAATACTGAGCTTCCAAAATATTACCAACTAGCTGAGCATTCCTGACCAATTGGTGGAGAAATCACAAATGGGCAAAGTCCAGCTATTTCAGTGTTAACTCCCCTAAGCTCTGAATGGTAGCCACTAGCTCTTAGGGCTAGAAGCCTTCCATGCTGCTCAGAGCCAGCAGGCCTTGGGAATCTCCTGGCCTTTAGAGATCATAGCTTCTAGTAATTCTCTGCAGCTCTTCACCATTCTCTGCTGCTAGCTGTATTCTCTGTTACCAGCTCTGGCTGCTTAGTACCAATAGCCTCGGGGGTCAACAGCTCTTAGTGTACCACCTCAGCATGTCTACTTGAGATAGAAATCATGAGTAGGTAGAATTCCAGCAGGGGGCACTATCAGGGCTTATGCAGCACTATCAGGGGAATGGTACACAGGCTGAACCCACCAAGAGTGGGGGACTTTGCTTACACAGGAAGAAGGGGGGCTCATCCATGTAATTAGTGTCAAACTTTTTACTTGGTTATGAGTAGGGAAGGACATTCTCCACTCTGCTTTCATGGAAGGCTGCAGAGAGACAGAATCATCCAGAGAAACTTCAGGGCAGAGTCATCTGGGATAGATCTACTCGCAAAGCCGATGGTAGCCGAAGCAAATATCTCCTGGAGTAGCTGTGAGTACCTAAGATGGTGAGGATGGCAGTAAGGCATTTGGGGAAGGTGTGGAAGAAAAACATCAGAAGTGTCTTCTGGGGAGAGGGGGTGCTCCTTGTGGTGATGGAACTGTTTTGCATCTCGATAATATCAACGCCACTGTCCTGCTTGTGATACTAGATTATAGGCTGGCAGGGTACTATGATTTGGAGAACTTTGGTAGAGGACATACAATACTAAGAGTGCGAAAACCTGTAGCCCAAAGCATACTGTTGGCTCACAAATCTCTCTGATCTGAACCTGTAGCCAGAGCTACAATGCTACCCCAAGAGATCGATGTGGACAGTGGCTCTTGACACTTGTGACAGGAAAAAATGAGGTCATGCACATAGTGTTTTCTTGTAATCATCATTCAGGAAACTTTTTAATTATACTGATCATAGTTTGTACTTATGAAAAGTTGTTAAATTTTTTAAAAGATTTATATATGAAATTATGTTTATAGTGCTTTGTCATAGGTTTGGTTTAAAATGGAAATCACTAATGCTTTTTTTAAAAAAAATCTTCAATTTTTCTTTAAACAAATAAAATTCAGGTTTTTCTTTATCTCATCAGAGCCATCAGAGGGCACAGACAGCTCCTGCTGCTACTGGTCCACACCCATCCTAGTGGATATCTAGCTTCTATTGTCCATATGCACCACTTTTCACTGATTAGACTTTAAAATGTTCAAATTAAGAGAATACTTCCTTTTACAGAGGCAGGGGAGCACAAGGACAGAACCATATCAACAATGGGGTTTCAGAAAGAAGGGAAGGTTAGCGCATCCCTGAGGGATCTCATCTTGTTCCTGGGCCCCTTTGAGGCTTAATCTGGCCATATAATAAATGTGACAAAAATAAGCCTAATCCACAAACTCGTGGTGGGTATTCAGCCAGTACATACTACAACAGTTAATACAGAGCATCTGGCCCATCACAGCACTTAAGAAGGAGGAGTATTAAGATTAACAGGAAAAGAGATCCACAGCTGTATCACTCTTCACTTGCTGTTCAAGCAAACAGTCCTAGACTTTATGTCTAGGGCATGTGAAGTTACACTAACACTCTATAAAATGGCACAATTCCCAAAGAAGAAGGGGAAGAGTGACTTGTCAGAGACAATGACAGAAAAATGCTAAAGAGGATTCCCATCCAGTACTCATTTGGAGAGAGCTGACAACAATGCCAAAAGCAGCAAGTGGGGTAGCTCTACCTACTCATGGGAGTTTGGAATTGAGCGTGACAACTTTTGCTTTAGAACCTTGCCTGTCCTCAGATGTCCAAGAATAAAAGGTGCATTTCCACATGGCAGCACAGTCTTGCATGGTAAAACCACAGGGAGGAACAGTTTGAATGTAACAGGAAGCATTGCACCAGTAAACATAGAAGAGCCAACAGCTAATTTAGTCTTCAGATGGGCTGGGTCAACTGGAATCTTTGTTCCTGCTCACATAGCTGTACCTCTGCCCACAGTGAGTTTACCTGATCATGTTTCCTCTAAGAAGGGCAACATAGTGACACCTGGGGCTATGGGTTTCAGGAAAGTCAGCTAGTTGTGTTACAATTATAAATGCCAAGTTTCATGGGGAAAAAATAAGGCAGAAGGCAGAATTCTGTTGGATTTGATAATTTGCAACCAAAGCATACCTGTGCAGAGAGAACACTAGGAGAGACTGCACTCTGCCTCCAGCCAGGTGCCCAGCTTACGCTTCATCTTAATTCCCCTGGACCACAGCTTCACATACAGATACACCAAGAGGTGAAAGCTGGAGAAAGGCACCCTGGCAACCTAGGGCATCTGCTGATGCTCTACTGCAGTCCACAAGCCTTCAGTGTGCGGGCCAGGTGCCCACCTCCCAGCAGCCCACATGCTTCACTGCTCCCTGATGCCTCCCTCCACACCCTTCCTGAGCAATGCAAACCTGCTAGCCCCACAGCTGAGCCAGTCTGCACTCTGGGGACACAACCTCTAAAGCCCTGTCCAAAACTGTCTAACCCTGAAGACCTACAGTCAGGCCAGTCCATGTCAGTAATCTTACACTATATTTGGCCATTAGGAACTACATAAATTGAATCACATATTTTTATAACTATTAACTCAGAATATATTGGGCCTAATGTTAAAAAGAGACTTAAATGGTCTCTAAATCCAGCATAAAACACTCTAGACCCATAAAGGCACTGATGTAGATTTTAGAAGTGCTCATTTTGCCTTTCAAATATTTGCATTTTGGTTCATGAGATTTGATGCTTCTCACACCACTAACTTGATTTTCATCATCTTAAAAAGAAAGAAATTTCAGTGGTTGTGTATGGACAGTTCAAGACTTGTACCTTATGCTATTCTTTCTGCAGGGAATAATCTGTAAAATGGAAATTACTGTCTTAGTTTCCCAACAGGTTACGTAGGTCACTGTGAGATTTGGTGTCTATTTAATCGAGTAAATTAGAAAATTATATATAATTCATCTCTCCAATCATGAGCCATGTTTCTAATTAGTATAGAGACAAAATATGAAAAGATATAAACGTAATGGCATTGTCGGTGATTTTCTGAAAAAACAAAACACAAATTCTATTTCTGTTTTATCAGAAAGTCTAATCTGAAGTCTTTTCAGAAACTTATATAACTTGGATTTCTGTAAAGAAACATATTAGAATTGTGATATGTTTTTCCTAGTTTCTACTCCTATTCATCCATTAGAAATTATTTTCATAAGATGTTTCTAATGCCACAAGTACATTGATAGTGGAAAGGTGACAGGGGTTCTTTTCTGTTGTCTCTCCTGACTTCTGGGACACTGCCCCACGTTTCAAGTCACGCAGGCCTTGCTTGAACTTAAGGTACCACAGCATAAGAGAATTACCGTGAACACAAATACACGGATACTAACTTTCCGAGTCTGCGGATGGCAGCTGTCTCCCACTTTGCCCATGGGTGTGCAAATTCTTATGCTCTTAACCCAGATACTAACAGCGCAGCACATGCCTCCACCACACTGAAGGTCCTTGTCGCAGGCCTGCAATAAAACAAACAAACATAAATGTAGACAGCGGGAAAGATACACACTAGCAAAATCTAAAATTAGCAGTAGAAATGCTTTTTAAATACCCCACACTATGATTTTAATAATCATGTATATATACACAAAAGGAACTGTAATCTTCATCTACTTGTACATAACTATATTAAATCTGACCAGAATAGATTTTTCCAGTTTTTAAAAGTGGACTAACATAATAGATCCTACACTATGAAAACCATAAACAGGATTAAAAAAAAAAAAAACCAAAATCACCTTTTCCTAGTGCTTTATGGCTGAATTGGCTTGGAACTTGAAGAATGAATCTTACACTATATATGGCCATTAGGAACTACATAAATTGAATCACATATTTTTATAACTATTAACTCAGAATATATTGGGCCTAATGTTAAAAAGAGACTTAAATGGTCTCTAAATCCGGCATAAAACACTCTAGACCCATAAAGGCACTGATGTAGATTTTACAAGTGCTCATTTTGCCTTTCAAATATTTGCATTTTGGTTCATGAGATTTGATGCTTCTCACACCACTAACTTGATTTTCATCATCTTAAAAAGAAAGAAATTTCAGTGGTTGTGTAAGGACAGTTCAAGACTTGCACCTTATGCTATTCTTTCTGTAGATGAATAATCTGTAAAGTGGAAATTACTGTCAGCGTGTATGTATGTCATATCACAAGATCAGGCTACCTAGCCCATAATATTCACAATATAATAAATTTAAGTAATAGTTGCAATTATTGACAGTAATTATTCTAATTACCTGCCCCCAATATAAAACCAATAAATACCTGTAATCAAAGAATCAACTATGGAAGAATTTCCAGCCTACTGAACAGAAATAATGCAGCTTAAATTTATTTGCATAAAAATGGATCTGAAGAACTATTTTTCTTTCCTAGAACAAAGTGGAACACTATCATGTGCAATAATTATTTTGCTAGTGATAAAGTAAAAGCATCCTGTACTATATTTATGAGATGCTAAAAGGTCTATAATTTAGGCATAAATTTAAATGTGCATTTGCTGGAAATAACTATAACAGTCCAATCTTTCAAAGAACTCAATCTTGGGGATAGCTATAACTTCTCAAAACATAACAATATGGGCTTATTCTTAGTATTATTGTGTGAGAGTTTATTTACTTCCTCCATTAGATTTTTTTCCCATCTATTTAAAACAAATATGTGGCCACAACTCATTTTGCTTTGTGATGTTTGGATTATATAGAAGAAAAACAAACCATTTTCATTTTCTAATTTTTATCTGCATGCTAGAAAACATGCAGACATAGCCATTGCATTCCAGGGATGAGATGTCCAGTTAACAGTCTTTTCCAATATAATTTTAACAGAGCTGTGTGGACATATAAATCAATTTCAAAATACCTATGTATCCTAAAAAAAAAAAAAAGCAAAATACTTAAACTGGAGGGTTCAGCCAATATATTATTTTATCAGATGCCTAAGACCCTGAATTCTGAAGCCCCATCAATTCCTTTTATAAGACAATCAAAAATCCAGCCAAAATCCTTTAAAATTCAATCAATCACTTGGATATTTAACATCCTACATATATCCAGATAAGTCATTGAGATTTTCATGTGAATCCAGATGGTTTCTGTCAGGGAGACATAACTACATTTTATTGCTATGTGGCTTTAAAGAAAGCTTTTAAAATAATTCTTTCTGTAACACTGAGTTACAACAACAGCAGCATACACAACTACATAATAAACCTGGTCCAAACCTCTTCAATAGACATACAACGTGATAAAATTTCATTTTGCAACAGAAAGCTTTAGTTCTTGGAGAATTTACAAAGAATTGCTGAAGTTTATATAATTTTAATTAGACAGTTGTTTCCTAACGCCCTCCATCCTTAACCCATTGCAGACCTATTCAAATAGCGTTTTCCTGTGAATGGAACAAAAAGATACTTACATTGCAAAGGAACCTTGGGCTTAGAGGATTAGGAGACATTTCAAATGTGCCAGCAGGGGAAGAGGGAAACAGACCCAACCATGTTACAATTCTCATGTTTTAGAAAGACCTCTGGAAACTTTTGTTCAACCACAAGCACTCTTGACAAAGTTATATAAATAATTTTAAAAATCTAGCAAGTGCCACAAGTTGATAACTAAATATGTATTGGATGTAATCAAATACTGTCACAGCACACAGGGTTCAAAACATTATCAATCTACTAATACAGCGGCGACAGAGCTTTATTTTCTCAAGACAATGGCAGGTCCTTTTAATCATGTACTAACTAATCCTTACGTAGGTGTCTCTTTAAATACGTAGATCCATTTTATTTAAGTCTGATAATATGCATTTTGATACTTGAAGTAATTTAATGAAATACATGAATTTAATGAAGTGGTATACTTTAACATGTAAAGAGCGAGACAGTTGAACAATGAGCCAGTCGTGGAGAATTCGCATAATGGATGTCAACAGACTTTTTCATTATGTACTGTAAGCTCATCCTTCGCACACACAAAGAAAACTGTTGGGAGAGGGAGACAAGTGAACTAGGAGCTACTTCCGAACATGATGAAGACGTCTTAAGTTTCAAGAGGGTCTGCTTGGCAGCCTGCTCTATAGATGCCCTGGAGGTGCTTTATCAGGGATCAGAAAAGGAAAACTTTCACAGGAAGGACCTCAAGAGTCTGAAGGAAGAAAGAAAAACTCCGGAACCCGGGAGGAAGCGCCCACAATTGCTTTTCAAAGCGCACTTATGGCCCTGACCCAAGCCATTTCAAAGGGTTTCTACTGGGGACGTAGGGGCGGGAGGGGGAGGGGTGTGTTAAACTCCGTGAACCTGGGATTAAGACCCGCAGGATTTGGGATATTCGTCCTGCTTTTCGCATTTTAGTAAGGGATCGTCAGTTTTGAAAGGTTCGTGGCTGGAGCGCCTTGAAAAGTACCTGAGAAGAGTGCGCACAAAACTTCCTTCGCCTAACAGAACAGCCCGAAGCCGGGAAGCGAGGTCGTGGGTTAGGAGGGAGAAGTGGCAGCGGGCGGCGGCTGTCCCTGCTCCTTTTCTCTCTGGCATCTGGAGCCACTGGCAGGTTTTGCAGATAGCTCTTTCCCAAGGGAACCAAAGGGCGGCGCAGACAGGTGTCCCCTGCTCCTGCGACCCTCCCCATCACTCTGCATGCCCTTCAGTACCCCGTCCTGAGCCCCTCTGGCGAATCCTGGTGCGCGCCCTGTGCCGACAGGTGCGCCCGGGCTCTTACCCCGGTGATCACTGCGGCGTCCCCGGCCGAGGGTGCGAACCACAGCGGCGGCAGTGGCGGCAGCAGCAGCAGCAGCAGCAGCAGGAGCAGGAGCGGGACGCAGTGCGGGCTCCCCATCGCGCCCTCGGGCGAGCGCGGCGTCTCGGGCTGCTAGGGCCCTGGGCTGGTGGGGCACGGCGGGGCGCACGGAGGCAGTCGGGCGCAGCGGCGGCTCCTCGGCCCTGCGTGGTTATAAAGGCGCGTCCCGCCGTGACTCACGCTGGCGCCCGACCGGCAGCGCGCGCGGGGGCACGGCGCGGGCACACACCCCACGCCCCCCGCGCACACGCGCGCCCACCCCCGGCCGTCCCGAGCCACGCACGTGCGGGGCCCCGCCTAGCCCGAGAGCCGCGCAGGCAGCGCCCCCCGCAGGGTGCCCCGTTCCGTGCCATTCTGCCCGCGGTCGCCCGCCCTCCTTTCCGCGCGCGCCCCAGAGTCGCTTTTGTGGTCTCAGAGTCACTCCTTCGCTGTCCTGGTTTCCAGAGCTCCACGTGCTCGCCGCCCACAACTTGCAGATCATTTGTTCTGCAGATGTCGGGAGAGCCTACTACGTGCCAGGCGCCGCGGGCACAGGGGGCACGGGGGGGTGTCGCTCGACAGCAATGTGTTCGCTTGTGCACGTCCACACGGAGCGCACAGCGTGTGCATGTTCTGCACCAGCTCTGTGCTCGTGGTGGGACAGCTGAATAGAAAAGCCAGCCGCCCAGCCCTAGAAACGTGAAAGGCAAGTAGAGAGAACAAAGAACCTGCGATCACACGCGTCCTCACGGCGGAGGGGTTTGTCCTTTTAGCAGTGGGAGTCTTAGTTCTTTCATTTAAAGCGACTTCTCTTGACGCTCACATCTGTTCCAGGCCCTCTCCTCTTTGATTTTCCTCACATGTATCTCTGCTAGTCTTCTTCGGCCTGAGCAGCTCTGGATGATGCCAAAGGGAAATGAGAACTCCCGGCTTCACGTGCCAGCCTGAGGCCCCTTAACCCATAGATGGGCAGCTCTCCCTGTCTCGTTTTCCAGCCAAGGAAGACCCGCGTTCAGTCTTAAGAAAATGTCACATGGAGTTGCTGCGATTCCTTCGTGCATGTGAACAAGAACTGAGCGCCACTAGGTCCTGGGTGCGTCGTGAGAGGACAGGTGAGGAGCGTGCTCCCCGCCCTCTGACCCTGGCCTAGCTCCACCTGTACGCACCAACAAAGAGGAGTTCAAGAGTTACCTAGATGTGACCAGCCCGAATTTGTTCACATGCTCCCTGTCACCACCAGTCGTCAGAATCTTGGACTTTCCTCTTTTAGGACCCAGACTGTTGAAAAGCATATGCATCTATCAAGCCTCTTTTTTAATAAATGCAGTAAGGAGAGTTGAGACAAAGTTACTTGCAGATTGTGAAGCTGCCCATGCCAAAGCACTTAGGGGGAGAGAGAGAGAGAGAGAGAGAGAGAGAGA